GCTGTTTCAAGTCATAAATGTGAGACTCCAGAGTGTTTGGATGGACTTGGCCATCCTTGTGCCTCTTCACTAACATTTCCAAGAGTTGCTCATTTTATTAGCTTCCTGCAGCTGCTGTAACAAATTGTCCCAAACTAAGTGGCTAAAAAAACAAAGCTTTATCCTTTCAAATTTCTGAAGGCAGGACATCTAAAATCAGTTGTTGACAGGGTCGTAATCCCCCTAAAGGTTCTAGGAGAGGATCTTTTCTTTTTAATTTTAGTAGTTCTAGCTTTCCTTGTAGCTACACTATTTCACTCACTGCCTATGCTATCATATACCTTCTTCCCTGTACCTCTCTCTGTCCTTCCTCTTAATCATCTGATTTAGGGCCGACTCTAATTCAGTATGAACCTACCCTAACCTACTTAGTTACACCTGCGAAGATTCTATTTACAGGTGTATTCTTTGCAGGTGTATTTAAGAATCTTTTACACTATTACTCTATTCTGAGGTTCTGGATGGACACAGATTTGGGGGTAGAAGGGCGTTGTTGAACCCAGTATGCGCAGAAATTGCTGACTCACTCTCCCACCATCCAGGATTGGGTGGTGGTGACAGTGCCGAAGGCAACAAATATCTGTGCTGGATTCCAGGCTGCCTTAGACAGGGCCTGGGGAGCCACATGAATATGAAGTACTATTTCTCATTGTGGAAATTATAGCAGAGAATTTGCTGGGCTCCTTGCTTGTTATGAAACAGGTAATAGACTTAGCTGGCTTTGAAAAGTTAGAGAATATGTTTTATAATATCTAATATGTGGTTCATTATACTTTAATGCAATATAAAAAATACTCTGAAGATGTCAAAAATAAGACATAAAATTGGTGTAGCAATCAAAGAAGAGCACATCAGTTTAAAAGATGATAGGAATAGCTTTTTAAAAACTGCCTTCACAAAAAAGATAATGAATTGTAAATTGTGCTTGCCAAAATACAGCTCTTATAGTCCATCATGTACCAATTTTTTTTTCCATGTAGAAAATGAGTCAGGAGGTTGAAGTCACTTGAAAGAAAAAAAATTTTTAAAGGCAAATGCACCCAAATTATAGCAGTTCTGCCCATTCTGATAGCCATGCCAATGTAAATTCTGACAAAGCTGATCAATATGTTTCTAAAGTAAGAATCCAGATTTTTTTGCCATGATATGTAATAACTGAGGTATGCAGGAGAGAAAGCAAAGGCACTTAGCTTATTCTCCTCTATTAGCTAAACTAGATTTATAGCTCAAAACAGCAGCCGTGATAACTCAGGTGTAGAGTAGGAACTTGGACTGATGATGAAAATCCTTTCTATTTAAATGAACTGTAAGAAGCTTCGACATAATTGTTACAATAGCCGTAGAGAGAGCATTTCATTGAGGGTTTTCATCTGAAAAAAAGTAAACCAGACCGAACACATTTGAAAAACTGTACTTTCCCTGTGTTTTCTTTTCCCATGAGGATGGAAGGACTTGGGATATAGAAGGAATTGGCCAGACCTTGCCTCTTCTGAATCTAGAGACTTGAAAAGAAGTTAAGAAGCAGGAAGAAACTACAATTACTGACTTTGTTAACTGAAACACAATGTAAAAAAAAAAATCTCCCTCTTCAGTGGAACTGGCACTGCACAGAGTTTAGGCAGAGTACTTAGGGCTTTGTGAGCCTGGATTCGAGGTCCCCCATTCTGCTGTGTAATGGGAGGAGTGATGAATCCAGAGCGAGCTAGTAGAGCTGAACTGGAGTCTGAATGCTGCCAAACAAATGAGGTCCTTTTCTTATCTGTGGATGGAAGCCTTCCAGCTCCAAGATTCTAAGCCTGAAGCTGTAGCTTGTAAGACAGGTGGTGAACCAGTAGAAAAGACAGGTGAGGAGCCATGGAACTGAAATGGGGACAGATGGTCAGTACATAGCAAAAGATGAAGAAGACAAAAGAGGAAAAAAGAGGGGGTTCAAGGAAGGAGGGTGGAAAGAAACAAGAAAAAGAGGGTGGAGTAAAGGCTCTTGCTCTTTCTGGTTACATAAGCAAAGGACAATATCTGGATCCTTTTTATCTAAAAAAAAGCTCAGACGTAAACCAGACCATGGTTGACTGGCCTGTGTGAGGAACCTTGCAAAGTCACTAGTGTTGGGAACTTCTAGCCAAGCAATTAAATTGCATAGATATTAATTTTTCTTTAGGGGTCAGTGTAGGAATCAGAATCAAAACAGAACTGTTGAAATATTTTTAGAAAAGAGAATAGAAAACATAGAGAAAATTATCACAGAAATAATAAAATTTCTCTGAAGCAAAGGAAATAAGAATCTGAGGGAAAGGGCTCTTCATAATATGTAGCACCACAATAAAATGATAAGACAACAAAGCTCACAACAACAAAATTTCATGACATTCCAGAACAATAAATCATACTATAGTTTTCCAGAGAGAGAAGAGCAGGTCACGGTATAGGTTCAAAGTAGAGTAGCATTAATCCCCTCTGGGGCAACACTGAAAACTAGAATGCTGCCTTCTTTTCTACATGAAAGTAATTTTTGATCTAGATTCTATGCCCACCTGACTTCCCATTAATGAATGGAGCATTTTCAGTGTAGGTAGTTTCAAAAATTTACATTCCATACAGAATTTCTTGGAACAAGATAATTTGTTCTACCACACTGAGAACCAAACAAGTCAGTTAATACAGAAAGGTATTCTGGAAAGAAGAACTCTCAGAAGAGACAGAGAAAGGAATTACCAGCTTATGGGGGAGGGAAAATCCTCAAAGAGCCATTAAATTAGTAATGGTTGGAGCAGGAAGAATAAGGACTGCAGGAAGTGTGTGGGGGAAAGGAGGTAAAACTGACACAGTCTCATGCATATGGTCATGTTGAGAGGGTATTTGTAGTTCAAGTGAAGATTTGGAAAATGATTTTTAAAAGAAACCAGAATAAATACAAACTAAAAAAAAGTGAGGGAGGACAAGTTGCTTAGGAAAAGAATGTAATCATAGTGGCTTACACGGCTCAACTGTAAACGTTTTCATTTCCATAATAATGTAAATACTGAGCTCTGATTTAGCCAACATTGTGATTTTAAAAAACTATTTAAGGAGGATATACAAGAGAAAAGTACATGTATTAAAAGTGGGTATGAGAAGTAAATTCTCACCTTCTAAATACAGTTCAAATTTCAAAATACAGTGTCTAAATGTGGGGAAATATTCAGAAATAGAAACAAACACATTATAGCAATGAAAAAAGACAAAATAAAAGAATTAAAATGTTATCTCTGTGGAAAAGGAATTAGGAAGGAAGTCACTGGGCATTTGTTTGTTTTTGTTTTGAGCATTGTAGTGATAATTGCATATTTTACAATGTACAATTGTAAAATTGTGCATATTCATACTTTAAATGATACAAAAATTAAATCTAAGGTGTATTTAGAATTTAGAAAAAACATATTTCACTGTAATGACAGATACAAAAGTGCAGAAAAACCTAAAACATAAACATTCCATCTGCACTTTGTATGTGAGGAAGCTGAGGCTCGGGACTCCGTATGTTGACACAGTTCTTAAATGACAGAACGAGAGCTCACACCCAGTCTTTCCGATTTCCCACTTCAGTCTGCCTCACAGTACCATCCTGCTTCTCATTGTCTCTCAGTTTACATTTGTCATGTTGCTCTAAATACCTATATGTGGCAAATACTTTACAATGTGAGTATACAAATAACATCCTTTATAAGGCACATCTGAGCTGAAGGTACAGAATTTCATGTGACTATGTCTCTCTTGGTGACACTCACACATCCAAATGTTCATCTGTGTCCTTCCCACCCTGAAGAACACAGACGAACATTCGGGTGTGTAGACAGGACAGCTTTAAACTCAAATGCTTTTTCTAATAGATAAATACTCTCATTAGATCATCCCAAGACACAAGGAACTGATCTTATTGCTTAATAAATGTTCTCAATTTGATTCAGTGCACCTGGGAAATAAAATTTCTATTTGCTGCCAAGATGTGATTGCATTAATCCTTAATGATGTACCTGTCATGGGAGTTAGACAAGAATATTTTCATTGTCAACTCTATCACTGAAGCACTTTTCTAGATTTACTTTTTCAGAAAGCTAAGCATGTTGATGAACTCACTGTTCTCTGCTATTACTTTTATATAGCTACTGGTTAATATTGCCTCCCTTCTACAGGCACCAGGCCTCACTAGGCTTCTCCCTGGTAACCAGATATTTTTGTGTCCTTTGGCAGTAGTTTCTGGAAATTTCATTATGAGGTCTGCAATTTGCAGAATTCAATGGCAGCTCTGGTTAAATAAACAAATTCTAATTATGTTAAAATTGGACTTTACCTAAAGTAGGATGATTGGGTTTCTTTCTACCTAGTATGTGAGCACCTGTAAAAATGTTAAATGTCAAGATGCTGCTTAGAAAATCTTTTAAAAACTTGATAGGGGGAATTTAGAGTGAGATATTACATGCCCCATCAATTGGATCTTTCTAATCTAGATCCTTACGTTTTAGATTTATGAACCCCTAAACTTTTATACAAAATGATGATTTTGAAAAAAGGACTATAACTTTCATAGAATTTTTCATAATTTCATAACCCCCAAATGTAAAGAACCAGTGCTCCACATAAAGAAATGCAGTGTGTTGAATGCTTTCCTTTTTAATGGAAATGAAGAAATTTTGTAATAAGTTCCAAGAAGCTTCTGAGAGATAGAAAGTATTAAATATACTCTTTCATTACTCTTCAATTCCTTTTCTATTTCTGAAACCACAAATACCAAAGTTCATCTAATATAATTTCATTTCTCCTCCCACTCTAACCCACATTTCTTTATTTTCTAGTTTTTGAGGGTTCATATGAAATTATCATTAGAAAACACTTTTTGTCATGGCTTCTACTTGAATTTTCTCCTTAGCTCTTTGAATCATATACTGAGCATATTTAATAGAAAACAGAAAATCTCAATCACTTACACTGCTCGGCAAGCCCGGTCAAGTAGCCCTGCTCATCTCTCCCTTTCCTTCCACTGGTCAGAAGCTTCCGTGTCATCGCTGCAAGAGTGCTCAGAAGACATTTCTACTGAGCAGGTACAGAACAAAGAAAGGGCAAACTCAGTGACGGGTGTTGGCCTGGTTTATGAACCTTTCCTTTTTCTAAGAATTATAGTAAGGTACTTGAATTTGTATCTAAAAGATTCCATCATTGTTAAATTTTATTCCTAGCAGCTTGGATACATCCCATAAAACTTCCAGGAAGGAAATTTAAAGCCCCTTTCTTTCCTACGTATATTAGAAACCAAATTTTGACAATGCATCTAGGCTTATTAGTTTTGTAGGTATCAACTCACACCAACAAAATTAATGAAACGCTAAGGTGTACATCATAAGGAAAAGCACACATTCTGAGGGGAGCAAAATACAGCCATCAGTGTTTGTTATCCTTGTGTCTTCTACTTCCACATTCCCTGGAATTTGGATATTTGGGAAACAAAGCCAGTAAATAACAGTTGAAAGCTAAGCATAGAATTGTAATAGAGAAATCAGGCTATGGGAATGATCAAACTAGTGAATGATCTTGACTCTACCGTAAGTATACTCTCCAGAGAAATGGATTTTGTAGCTGGCTGGTGGCAAGGTCCACACTTCCGACATTTAAAACTGACTCTTCAGTTCCTAGCAGTGAAAACTGGGGCAGACACTTAGCCTTTCTGAGCTTTATTTACTAGTCAACTATCAGGAGGGAAAATAATAGCGTCTCATAGATGGTTATAAGTTTGAAATAAGATAATGAGTGTACTCAGCATTATGATGAGACATAAAAACCCTTTTCCTTTCTTCACCCTTACCCTTTCTCCTTTTCTCCTTCCCTTTATTCTTAATTTTTGCCTCAAAATGAGGGATTAACATATATTTTGAGAAACACTATTGTTCTGTGTTTACAGTCCATAAGTCTTATAGAATTTACACTGCAACATAGACTTCATACACTTTTATGCTCCTGCATAATCATTGAATTCATTAACTCCAGCCCACATGTAGTATTCTTCCGTCAGCTGCTATTTATGTATCTATTGACTTGAAGATGAAAACAGTGGCTTCCAGCACCTTCCTATTCCCCCAACAACTCTATGAAGAGGAAGCATACATAGTCCCTTCTGAAACTGTGCAAGCCTTTGTTGAGAGTCTACTTCCAGAGGCAGAATTACTGGGTCATTGTACATATGTATAGTAGACATAGAGGAACAAGAAATATTTTATATACTTTTCTAACACTGAAAGAAAGAATTGAAGTGAGATTAGAGATGGGAGATGAATAAAAAAATTACAACAAAAGAAAAAACTTCCTTAGTTGGATATAATGATAAGTATTTGATTAATGAGTCGATCAACTCAGTGCTGTGTCCTTAAACATGAAATAAGTGCTGGAGAGTAGCATGTGGAGGATCTTGAGTTCAGTCCCCAGTACTGGGGAAAAGGGGTGGGGGTTGGGAAAAATAAAAAAGGATATGGCTTAATGTGTTAATGCTACATCTATCATACTGGTTAGCATCCCCATCTGTACTGTGGCCAGTGTGCCAGCATCGAACCACCTCCTAAGATGCTGTAGAAAATCATTAGATGATGTCTGTGAGGCCTTAAAACTCTTGAGATTCGGGCTATAAAGGAACAACGCAAATATGTTGTTGTGCATTGATAGCTCACAAAATTTTAAAGAAAGATGTCTGTCAATCAGCCCTGGAGACTGCCATGAACTAAATGGTCTCTTCAAGCCTGACTATTGCCAATTCCCCATTAGCCTGCAAAAATTACTTATAAGGGCACTGTTTTGATGCTTTTGGCCATTCTATCCAGTCAAAGAACAAAAGATCTGTCACACTCAGGAGGTTTAATAGCTCTTATATGTAATTTGGTCACATATATTAGGCAGAGGTAGGAAGTTAGAAACTTTGGAGTAAGCAAACAAAAATAAATGTCAAACCATTTTTCAGTGATAGTTGAAACCTCCTCTTACAAATGGACAAAACTTTTCTTTTTTAAAAAAAGGAATGAAAAATCATTCAAATAATTTTTTTCTATGCCAGAAGAGTAAAATAACTAAACCTTTCATTTTCAATAGCTCTTTTTGTTTTTTTGTAGGCCCAATGCTACTTGACAAGAATGGCAGTTTTCAAAGACAGATCAGGTGACTTATTTCTACAGGAATTAGGAGAGACAGATCTGGCAAAGCTAAATGATTTTTTCAGCACTAATAATAAAAGACATAATGTGAAAGAGAAAAATATTCTCTGAGATCTGTCCACAAGCAGCTCCATCCTTTAATTCAGAACATGATCTCTTTGATTTTTAATTGCTTAGGATATAATAGATAAGTTATTTAAATTAGCTCATTTTGCTCAAATTATTAGAATATTATTTCATTGTTATCTTTGGTAATATATATCTCTGTAATTTTCTTACTACTTAGAAGCCAGAATTATAGAATGTAAAGGTGTAACTAGAAGTTCCAATACCAGTAAATGTTTAAAAACTTTTCATTTTGGGGGCTGGGAATATAGCTCAGCAGCACAAGCACCTACCTGGTAAGCACAAGGTCCTGAGTTTGATTCCTATTGAAAAAAAAAAAAAAAACCATAAAACCTGAACAAAAACTTTCCATTTTTTGAATCAAATCATTTACATTTTTAAAGTTTCCTCTTTTTTATCTTTGTTATTGTTGTGTCCAACATATTTTAATTCTCAAGTCTGATTTATATATGTTCTGTTCAGAGTATTTAAACATACAAATTTTACATCAAAACTTTATATGACAACAGAAATTTGAAAGGTAGGTTACAAATGATTTTTATTTATAAATGCCATCCTTTCCCAGTTATCTTTAAGCAAGGAAAACAGTTCTTGCTTTGTAAAAGCTATATGACAGTTAACTGCACGTATGCTAGAGTTAAAGGTGATTTAAGACCATTATTTGTAATTAAATTCAATCTTTCAATCCAGTTGTTGAAACTCGCCTATAGGATTCCTGCCTTTGGAACTTTGCCCCCTTTAGTTAGTTATGCACTCACTGATTTAGGCAACTGGAAATTTCTTCTCCTGAAATAGGGACTTCCTGAAATGGAATCCTTTTCAAGGAGTGTTTGACATATAACATAACTGCAACCCTTTTAATTAGAGGTAACTAAACGACATAAGAACACCTATATTCACCTCTGTTTTGTATGTTTACAGACCCAGTTCTGTTTAGTGTCATTTTTCAAACTGAATCTAGCTCAGTTCCCTTTGACAGGACAAGAAAAGCAATTTGCACAAGAACCTCCTTGTCAGGCAATACTTTCTAGGTTGTAAGAGATGTTGAAGCTTCTGTGTGTGAGCTCTCGCACAACTCAACAGAAGGTCTTAATTGTACTCAGCTCCCTCTCCCCCTGTCGCATCAGGAAATAAGCCCAAGAACATTCTCCAGTTTATCTTAATCCACCCAACTCCACCAATAGGATAGTCTTCTCAACCCTAATAGAACAGACCACATTGTTCATATGCAAGATGGCTTAACGCCACCCAAAAATCTGATTTTTGATCCCAAAATCTGCTTCCTTCAGCTATAACATTTCTAGTAAATATTAAGAGAAGCAACAGTTTTGTGTGTTTTTGTTTATAAATGTGATCCTGCAGTTCTGCAGCATCATTCTCATTACAAAGCACTGACCATCGCTACTTGCTGGGCACTGCTCAGCTTTAGGTCATCTGATGATTACTCACTGCCATCCTTGGAGGATGATTTCAAATGCCAGTGACACTGTGAACTAACGCAATGACATGCTCATTGTTCTACTGATTTAGGCGATTGTTTTTCCACATAGGAAAGCATCTCACATACTCCTAACTTTACTAAACTCTGAAAATTCAAGGATTAAGCACTTTGCTAGTTATCTCCAGTTCTCAGCTGTTATCCTGGGGCACATGACCTCTGGAATGTTCTCAATTACGAGAATATTTGCAAACATTTCAGAAGGGCTAAATTAACTCTTGTTACATTACATGGGTTTGGAATCTTGAGCATATTCTTTGGCAGTTTTGTGATATTGCCATTGTAGAATTGATATCTGTAATTATAGGCAGCAGGTGGAGCTGTGTGTGTGTGTGTGTGTGTGTGTGTGTGTGTGACCTTCAAGGCTCCCTACCACAAATAGTCTGTCATAGTTCAAAAGCAATCACTGTCTATCCATAGCCTGTGATGCTGGCCAAGGACTGTGCTAGCAGAAAGACATTGGCTGATGTTGAACATCTAATTTCCCTACCCCCAAGCACAGATAAATATGGAAGGGCTCACAGCCTTAGTATTTAAACAGTGACAGAAGCTACCATTTCCTGCATTTTGGCTACTCTGAAATATAAGACAGCTGAGACAGCAACTGACAAGGCTAAGAAACAGTCAGACTAGATTTTTTGAGCAGATTATAGAACCCAAGAGTTCTTATCAGTATCAGTTGAAAACATTACCCAGGCAAGGAGAATAAACAATAAAAAGAATAACTTTACTCTTCAGAGTAAGAAGTCTCTGCCTCCAGAACACTGACTACCTCTAGAGCCCACATACCTATAGAGAAATATTTTACTCATCCACAGTATATACGTGGTTTGGTTTACCTGAAGCCAGTTATTGTTTTGACACCAAAAAACCCACATCTATGATTATTTCCAGTAGTACCACATACAGGGAGATGGAGTGCAACACCTGAAGTAATAGGATTTTACAGGAAATAATGTAAATGAAGCCTTTGCCCTTCGTGACCCATAATAAAATGCTCTTGTTACCAAGCTCTACTCCAACTGTGCAGGTTACCATGGTAACACCAGCTGCTCCTCCACACAGTTGCTTAATGATCAGTGTGATGTCAGGCTCTTGAGATAACCACCAACTCAGACAAATCTTTACAGCCACAGCGACAATCCACTGGGACTTCAGCTGTGTCTGAGCAAAGACTCCGGTGTCCAGGTATAATTAAAATACACTCAGACCTAGACTGGAGATGCTTTCAGCACAGAAT